AGCTTTTCGAAAACGATGGCTTCACGATAATCATATGATTTCCCTGACCACAAACACAAATCCAAAATGACCGGTGATTGTTGCGTTTTCGGATTTCTCCGGCATAGTGTGGACAGAAAACATTTGAAGCGTTTTCAGAGTGAAAACGCCATTTTCAAATTTCTCCGATGCAGTGTGGATGGGGCCGAAGGAGCTACGATTTGGACAAGTGGTTCCTGTTACACGTCGACGTCTTCTCCAACCTCTAAATTAGTTATTTATTGCCAACGAGCGCCCTTCCGATCACTAACTGGAGAATTCGTCTTGCTTTGCAGGAACCAGACGGTCGGCCCAGCGAGGAGGAAGAATCGAGCAGCTCTGAAGACGAGCGTGAATGGCGGGCAGAGTTAAAGAGACAGCGACGAGAGACTAAATCCAACGAAGAAAAACGCGTCCCTAGCAAACCAAAGTTTTACGAACTGAAATCAGGCGAAAACTTCAGAACCGTGAAGTCGGCCAAAACGGCATCAGCGTCGAAACAGAAGAAGTAAGTGAGTCCTAGTGCAGACACCGAATTTTTCATGAAGCAAATTAAGATACTCAGACCTCAGACATTAAGACACCAAACTTGATACAGTTTGAGGCAAAAAGTCGTCAAATGTGTTCTGACTAATGATTTATACATTAGGTTCCGTTCAGCACAGGAAAAGCTCGGTGGCTGAACCGAAATCGTTCTAAAGTCGAGATTCCTGGCTGAGCCAGGCGGGAAGAACGAATGAACGGTTCCAAACTGAAACGGCCGTTCTTCATCGCTTCAGATGCCGAACTTGTCATGTACGTAGTTCAAGGAGTTAGGTTCGGCCCATGAAAAGGTTTTCCTACTAGGCGGAATCTAAGATGCGTGGTTTAAGGGTTGGGACCTTTCCAGTTTCATTAAGTCCACCCTCTCCACTAGCTAGCATTTTTGTCAACAATTCAGATTACGTGCGCCATGAGCTAAGTTGTGTATGTCACTGATGGTTTATTATGGTACAATTTTTAGACCAGCCACCCATGAGTTCTCCTATTTGTAAGATTGGAACGTGTTTGGGACCTGTTTTGTGTTCAAAGTCGTGTGTGTAAATTTTAACGGCAAACAGAGGTTAACGTTTTTCGTGACCAAGCTTCGCTTTGATTCATTCTTTTAGAGTATCGCTTGGAGAACGTCTTAAACACGAGGAACGTTCCGGGGTCATCAAATCAACTGGCTCTACGTTAGGTGAAAAAGAGATTACTTTCCAGGTGAAAAAGGTAAGAAAAGTGTCCATTTGTTATTTGCTCTTCATATTCGGGTTGCGCGGTGGCCTTAAGGACGTTCGCGCTAATTGTTTCTGCGCATCCTTACTGCGCACGCAAATTCACAGGCCACGTCATGCATCGAACACGCGCTAAGTAATAAAATGAACAATGATAGGGCAGATGGCCATTGCTATAGCTTTGCGTGGATTTAAAGATCTTGGACGTTCGGTGACCCCTACTTTTCTTAACAGAAACAGATTTTATTTACAATTATCTCCACATTGTCCAAAAATGAACAAAAAATCAATGTAGAAAGTTAAAAGAAAATTCAAGATTTCTGTCCACGGGACATCGAATCCTGCCATCTTGCAGCTGCAAGGCGCGTGGAACTATGGTCGCTAAATGTGAACTTGTTCTTTAAGGAACCTTACCAGTTGACTAAATTCACTTAACAGGTCCACTTAAACAATATTTGGCAGAGAACATTTCACTTCAAAGATCTAATTGCAGTATTTTTGGGCTTACAGACACTGTGGCCTTATTCGCTAACGAAGCCCGATTTTTTCAGATTTAGGGTGTTCTTCCGGGCATGTTCTCTCCAGAACATTTCTGATGTAACTAACTCATCATCTTACAGTGGCAAAAGACGGTCTCAGAGAAAAATCAATGCTGGAAAATTTTCGCGCGAACGTCCTCACGGGTTGAGCCCTGGCTTCTGTTAAGGTTAGTTTTGACATCTTCAAACTGGAGGAATTTGAAAACGCCGGCTTTTCGCTTTAGGGTAACATTCTGTAAACGGAGCTTTTCGAAAACGATGTCGTCACGATAATCACACTGTATAATCATTTCCTGACCGAGTTTTCCTCAAACACAAATCCAAAATGACCGGCAGTTGTTGCTTTTCAAATTTCTCCGGCTTAGTGTGGACGGAAACATCTGATGCATTCCGAATGCATCAGATGCAACGTTCGCGCGAAAATTTTCCAGTCGATAGACTTTTTTTAAATTTTTACTGCAGTCAGATAATGAGTTACTTGTGTCAGAAATGAAAAAAAAAACTGGGGGTCACCGACTTCGTTTCAGAGATAAAGCGTGTGGAAAACTACCCTGATTTTGAAAAATTGCCACACGTAATTGAGCATGGTCTACAGGGGTTTATACTTAAAAATATTGAAGGTGAGTCAACGGAGGCAAACTATCTTAGTCATATTTTGTAGAAGTGGGTCTGTTGCGTAAATAATTCCAAATGTTGCCAACGTTTTCACAAAACTTAACCCTTCAAGAGGCATTTGAAACCGAGTTCGACGGTACATTTTGCACAAAATTCAAACTTCTAATCGATAGATTTTCTTCATTTTTTCGCACCGATGTATGACGTGGCATGTGAATTTGCTTGCGCAGTAAGGACTGATGCGCAGAAACAGTTCGCGCAAACGTCCTTAAACTTCAGTTAGCCTGGGTAGTCGAAGAGCTTTGCTTTGCCGAAATGACCGGATAAGGAGCATGTGTCCCAACAATAAAAATGATGTGAAACATCGCTCCCGCATTAGTTGAAAATTTCGATTGGTCTTAGGAGGATAAAGGTTAGCTACACTGCACATGTAACTGGCTGTGGTTTTCTCTGCAGAGTAATAAAGAGACACAAAGAAACGAAGAGATCCGTGCTCATGTCAAAGAAAGAAAACAGCGTCGCCGGTCAGCCAGTAGCGTTCTGGGAAAGGAAAAACGGGGACCAGTGTTTTGGAGAGGAAAAAGAGTTAGATGACCGAGGAAGAACCTCAGGAAATAGACTTATTACTGACGAAGAGGATCTAGATTCATGCATACAAAAGCAGACAAGTAATCACTCTAGAGTGTTGATGCGGCAGTGGAACATGGAATGTGCCGGATTACGGCATCTGTGATTGTTCAAAGCATATTTAAGAACTGAACATTTGCAGACACCTCACAGAATAACGATGGCAAAACTGCCTCCGTCACTGACTTTGTTTAAGTATGACTTGATGGGTTTCTCGCTCCATGAGAGAGAATTTGCACCCGAAATCACAAAGATCAAAGACTGCAATCCTGTTGAAGCATTAGTATTTTTTTTCTTATTTTGCCGTTGCTAGTTGCTCCACAACTGCGAACATTTTATTTTATCTGGCACTACGCTACAGAATCATTCTTCAGTTTACCCATCTGCTATAATGAAGTAGTTTTCATTTTGTCGTTCGTCAGTTTAATTATACAGGCATAGTTCTTTAGGTATTGACAACGTCGAAGTATTTGTAGTACATCTGTAACCAAACGCATGTAGTATTAATTAGTAATGGTAATAGGACTGAGTGGAGTCCAAATCGGTCTGTAATCATACAAGTGATAACAAAATCGAACGACCGCGCAGTGGGAGTCCGATTTGTTTATCGCGAGTGTGATTACAGACCGAATTGGACGACGCGAAGTCTTATTACCAATTAATCATAAAAATTACAATTTTCGAGGAAAGAAGAATAACCAAGTTATGAAAGAAAGGGAAAATTTGCATTAAAAGACTGACAAAGGAGGCGTAAATTGTTTAAGATTGTGATTGGTTGATTTAAACTACAACTTTGAATGTGATTGGTTGATTTAAACTTCGACTTTGAATATGATTGGCTTATCGAACTGTCCGAAAACAACCTGTCCGATAACAACTTGGCAGGTGAATTAGTGGAAAATAGGAGTTTTTTAAACCAATCACAATCGAGGAAATTGTAATGTTTTTTGATTAGCGTTGTATCCCGAGTCGCTGCAAGCATCGTGTAAACGTTCAATTATTGTTTGCCAGATACAACTTGTGTTCAATATTCCATGAAATTATCACTTACACCGACATCAGCTTCACTACAGTCTTAGGATCAAGTGAAGTTAAAGGCTACATTATACATACTTAGTCGGTACAATAACGAAGGTCACATGTTGGAGTCGGTTTCAGTTTGTAGACATAGAACGAGCCACAGCTGCGTACCAGAATATAGGTATGAGTAGAGCAAGGACACGAGAATGACGATTTCATGCTGAAACACACTTTTAATAAGACCCTTCCCGACGAAACGTGAGGATGGCCACCAACTAACCAGCCAGGGTAATCTGTGTTGCAGGCGTTGTTCTTAGCACACCGTTCGCTCATGCGTCTGCCGTTTATAAACCTGTACCAACCCGCAGCAAGATCTCTGTCGCATCTGTCGTAAGTATGTGTGGAGCCCACTCGACGTGAATCATCATCTATTACCATGTGATTGAAGCATTCCGGTCTGTTGGTACCTGAAAAAAATTATAAAGGGGTAAATCGGGCCATGCATTCAAACGACCAAATTGTATAACACTCGTTCAAGCATTCATTTTTGCAGGAATTGTCCAACAATATAAATGCAGACTATGCTCTTAGTGTTTTGTTACTTCAGTGCTTTTCTTTTCTCTTCTTCTCTTGTAGGAATATTTTTGGTTGTTCCGTCGTGCGATAGACATACTTCTAAAAGTTTCAGATAACTTGAAAAAGGCTTTGGAAACATTAATCTACAGCTTGTGTTCTTACAACTTCTGCCCGTGTTTCTATAAATCGATACACTTGATTTGAATATTTTTGTGTAATTGGCAACAAAACCCTCCAGAAATCTCAGTTGCTGGCTTTTCATCACTGGCATCTTTTAGGAAAACACGTAAAGCATATACTATCGGTAACTATTAAATCTGTCTTAAAATAAGGTTTGTCATTAATTACTTTATCTCAGTTAGTCATTTGGCGTTTCTTGATAGGGAACCTAAGCTTACAAGCCCCGTGTTTTTTATTAGGTTCCCCTGCCATTTTTTTTTTTTTATTTCTATCCTTTAATATATAAATTGCAGTTTTGTATCTTCATTGTAATCTTGTATATTATTTTTTGCAATTTATTCATCATTGTACTGTAATACTATTTTTGTTTGTGTGGCAAATCAAAAAAATAAAAAACTAAATAAATACTGAAGGAGTTAAGCAAATAGATTTAGACAAGCAACGAATAGTCAGCTTTTTAATCATCAAAACGTGAACAGCACAACCGTGTGACGCCAAACGTCATCTAACTTATTTTCACCATCTTGTTCAAAAATGTTTCGTATTGTATCAAATTCTTACAATGTACTGCATTTCCGCTCCAGCTACCGCTGGGCAAGCATCTTCTGACTGTAGGACCAAGCATAGTATACCCCGGATTACAGAGGTATCTGACGTACTCTCCTGCCCAGTAGCTGCTCAGTACAAGCACTGCGTTCCTTTGATAACCTGGATGGCCACAGTTAGGCAGAACTAAAGAATTAAGACAGAACGGTATGAGTTACTCGGTTAGTCAACTTAAGCACCGCCTGATGTCAACAGAAGATCAAGGTAAGAGAGTGAATCCACCCTGGCCTTATACCCAAGATAATCCCTCTTAAGTTATTTTTAGACATGGTACCCAGTTCTTCCACGGATGTTACTTGCGCGTTGCGCGGATGTTTTCGTGGAGAATTTGTTTATGTTTCGTTTTGTCTCGTTTCGATTCAAAGTGAAGGAAGCCCTCAATGCAACGCTGTGGGATGTCTTCTTTGATATTTTAATATCAAAGAAGCCAAGAACCTTCGGTCTTGCTATGTTTCAATACATTTCGAAACTTTAACAGGAGTTTAAATCAGAGACGGATGACTCCTGAACGAACAAAAAAAATCTGAATGAACGACAGAGAAATGAGCAGCCAAACGAGTGCAAAGCAAACGAAAGCCAGAAAACAACGAAACCAAATAATCAAAAGTGCAGCGGGAAGTGCAGACAGACGTTCCCCTCCAAAACAACATAAAGAAGTTTAAGGAACAACGACAAAAACGCCAAGGACAGTGTCGATTAAAAAATTACTTTATATTCAACCTACGGATCTCGCAAGAATTTAGATTCATTTAGTTTATCTATCACTGTAAGAGATGTTCCAAACAGAATATGTAAGACAGCGTCAACAGTCGAAAAAGAAATTGGTATCACTTATTTTCAAGTTCTGCAGATGGGAACGATCTTTCCAGTGATATCCAGATCAGAGCGATTGGGCCAATTGAACGCAAACCTGAAATATCGACGAAAATGCTTAGAAATGGGAGTGAAAAAACTCGGAGCAAAATTTTCCTCAACTACACTTGGCCACTCCGTGGTAAGTATTTCCCGTCTCGTTGATGCTTTCCAGGGAATTCTTGAACTGGAAGCAAGCCCAGTGGAACGTCAATCACTGCAGCAAAAAAACAAGAAAAGGAAAAAAACGAAAGGCAGGAAAAAAATTCTAAAACTGAAAAGCCTTAAGACGTAGGTTTGATTTCTGCGCATGACCGAGCAAAACTGTCATAAAACGCAATGCTAGTGGAAAGAAAGGCATACTGTCATGTTGCAAATGCCTTTTAGAGAAGATTTGAGCTAATTTGGCTCGTATCCAGACTTAATAAAATGTCCAAAATATCCAAAAAGTGCGTTTTTTCCGAAAAGCTCCAGGTGTGAATGGGTTAAACTCCCTAAAACCAAATGAACAACCAAACCCAGTAACACAAATAAGGCAAACAAAATCCCAGTCGAACAAAAAGACGGCTGAGAGTGCAGAGAACATCTGTGCTACGAAACGTCCTTTGAAAATCAAAACATATGAAACTTTTTTTCACCACATTTCCCGCCATTTCGTCTCGCGTAGTTGCGAGAAAGCAGTCGATCTACCAGTGTTCTATTACAAATGCCGTTATCTTATTGGTTACTCCACTCTACTCCACTCCACTCCACTCCACTCCACTCCACCAAAAGCTATCAAAACGAGTCTTAACAAATAAACGAAAGCTTTATTTTACTGAGATTTTACGACTGGTAAGAACAATCTCTTCAAGACATAAAAAAAGAAGAACAGAAGAAAGAAAATGAGAGAGTGAGAAAGAAAAAGACCGTCATCCCTCAGAATGTTTTTTATTACTTTGGACAGAAAACTCCCGACCGGGCTGTAATTTTCATCAACACTGTAGACAATGTTGACTTACATATTCTTGTACTTGTCTCCACTGTGTCGTTGAAAACGTTACGAGCAACGCATTTATAGGTGGCCTGGTCCGCGGGCTGAAATTCACCAATCACAAGCTCGCTGGTAAATTCATCGGCGGTGACCTTGTTTACGACGGACACGTTGAAGTCATTCTTGTACCACGTGACTGTGGGTAGAGGTGATCCTTTAGCGGAACACCTGACTCGGAGCGATTCTCGAATACTTGGCACAGAGACAGAAGACGATGGTGTTGACGAGAAGAAGGGAAGTACTGAGAAAGTAACATAATTGTCCATTTAATCCTAGTTTCCTGTATCAAAACAGGCCTCTTCGTTGACACAAAGCCAATGAAATACGCGAAAAAACGACAAACAAAAAACGTTGAACTTTATTATATGGCAAGCTTGTCTTGAGGTAAATGCGAGCGTCTTGATTGGTTCTTTCTTGGTCGAGATTTTGCCATACGGACCGGGAAACGGTCATAAGCCATGTATTGTTTGCTTTCGTTTAAAAGCTGGCAAATTCAGGGCCCAAGTGCCATTTAATAAACTACTTTACTAATCTAGCCTGCTTGAGGCGTACTGAGCTCGGTCTTTTAGCATACTGCCACGACTCGATCGGGCCAATACTCCCTAGTACGGCCCTCGCGCTGAGTTCGTAAGAGGTTATTACCCGAGCATAGTATGAGAAAAACTAAAATGAAGGGGGGTGGATTATTCCTCTAAAAGGAAGAAGTTTATCCCAGTGATGGCGAAAATCATGCTAGTAAAATGCTAATTTGATTCATTGACCGCTAATAATATAATATAGCTTACCAACAGACTCTACTTTCAGAAAAGTTCCATGAATGATCATTCCATGTTTGTTTGTCGCAGTACAAAAGTAAATGCCTCCATCGCCGTCTTCAGTGTTGTTAATATAAAGACTGCTATTGCTCACTGCACTGCGTCCCTGGGGGAGTGGTGACGGGGGAGACCTGTTCCATTTGACCTCAGGGGTAGGGTAACCAACTACGGCACAATGTAATATTGTGGCTTTTTTCAAAAAACCAATAACCTGTCCTGGTGGTGTGATGGGGAATCTTGGTGGTCCTAAATCCACAACAAGAATGATGGTCATTATTATTATTATTATTATTAAANAAAAACCAATAACCTGTCCTGGTGGTGTGATGGGGAATCTTGGTGGTCCTAAATCCACAACAAGAATGATGGTCATTATTATTATTATTATTATTAAATCATTTAGCCAAAAGAGAAACATTACGATCTAACAAGTCAGTCAGGCAGTCAGGCAGTCAGGCAGTCAGGCAGTCAGGCAGTCAGTCAGTCAGTCAGTCAGTCAGTCAGGCAGTCAGGCAGTCAGGCAGTCAGGCAGTCAGGCAGTCAGTCAGTCAGTCAGTCAGTCAGTCAGTCAGTCAGTCAGCCAACAAATTTGACCCGATCGTCTATCCCTGACTTATACTTCAGGAAAATGTTGTTTGGGTAACTGTTATAATGCGTGACTGTCCATGAATCATTATCAGTCAGTCAATCAATCAAGCCATCCATCCTTCCTTCCTTCCTTCCGTCAGTCAATCAGTCAGTCAGTCAGTTAGTCCGGTTATTATCAATTCGTCCTACCTTGAGTAAGTGGTTCAGTAATTGGGGATATCTGGTTGATTTTTTTCACGTACTTATGACCACAGACACTACAAAAATTTCTTCATAACTGTTTCCTTAAACTAGTTCTTTAAAGAACAATACAACTGAATGGCTTTATTTAGGACTTCCCAAAGGTTATCTCATTAAAGTAACTGAAAGTAAAACAACAATTTACCAAATACAATAAGTTTTACTTGAGCCACTCGAGTACCAAACACGTTTTCCGCCTGACACGTGATCATACCCTGATCCTCAAAGCGGACTTCAATTATCTCAAACGTTTCATTTGTCAGCTTAAATCGGCTTTGGTTACCATGGTTTCCACCCTGCAAAGACCACGTGATTTTCGGAGCCGGATTTCCGGTTGCAGAGATATTGAGTGACAGCTTGGTGCCTTCTCTGATGGTGATGGATGGAGGAATCTTGGACGTGAAACGAGGAGGAGCTGTTGAAAGATGATGATATTAAGCAGTCAAACTCCGTTGATACTAAGAAAGTGGTTACAAACATAAAATGTGTTTGTACGTAGTAAGCGCCACTGCTCGTCATTGCCCTCACACAAGAGGAAACATGGTTGCAGAGGCATCGTTTTTGCCGAAACTTTTTAACTTTTCCCGTCTTCGTGCACATGTCAGATTTATTTTCTTATGTACCAAACTTCTCTCCATATTAAAAACTTAAAAGGAAACAAAACTTCGAAATATTAACTCTTAAGTATTTTGGAGCGATGAAAAATGAACCCATGCATTTCCTTCGAATTAGCTCGTCGTTCCTCTGCCGACTGTTCTACGAGACCAAACTGGAGCAGTTCCTAGATATTTACGGCGGTAATTCATGACAAGGTTGGGTTGCATTAAAGGTACAGTGGCGATTGTTAAAGAAAGGGCCGATCGAACATCTCTATAAATATAGCCTACATTCCAACTCTTTTACCCCGCCTTGTTTTTCTCTTTCTCTCCTCCAATTCCAAAGTGAGTGAAAGTCATCGCACGTCAACGCAAGTGCACGCAAGGCCTGGCCAAACGATTTTCTCTTTAAACTTTTGTAACAGTACAAGAAGACATGCGGGTAAAGAGAATGAAGATTATGGACATTTCAAACAAAAAAAAGAAGAAAGGAAAATTATTAAGTTTTTATTTACAACTCCAACATTCTAGCAGACCACAGGCAATAAAACTACATCAAGTGAAATAGACGAGGAATAAGTTGATCTTCAACAACCACAATAGCTAAAACGATAATTATTCTTACTCCAGTTTTTAATAATAATATTTTCAAGGTCTCTTGTCAAATTCCCTTTGTGAAGTAGCGAGGGTCTGACGTTACTCGGGTACTCACCAAATTTTGTCATTTCTCTTTGAGTGTAGGCCTCTAGTCGTTTGGCGAGCTTGTTGATGGCTGTTATATTGACGCTGGTGCCCTTTCCTGGAGGTCCTCGAGGACCCCTTCTCCCAGGTGGCCCAGTTTTGCCAGAGGGGCCTGGACGTCCACGACGTCCACGGAGCCCTTGTTCACCGGGTGGGCCTGGCGGACCTAAAATAACAGTGTTTAAAATTTTGGGTCACTGTGACTTGCTTGTGCATTATTATAAAAATCATAATAATTAAAGTAATAGCAAGAATGAAAAAACAAACAAAAATATTACAAAAACGGATTTTTTCACATGTGCCACCTTTTCTGGGAGGGCTGCAAGGGAGCTAGGCTGGTGTCTTTCAGATGATCCTGCATGTCCACCACCCCCTACACCTCAAAACCCTTTTCTTGAATTTATTATTTACCTTACCTTTACCTCTATTTACATCATTTGTTATTTACCTTATTATCTACCTATGGTCAGGAACATATCTTGACCAAATCTTCGAATCTTTTTTAAAGAGTTCAATGTGATTAGCATTTGGCACAATTTCAGTAATTTTCGACATTCTTGAAACAGAACCAGATTTTTGTAAAATATGACAGTCATTTGACCCTGCTCGGGATCAGAAATAGATCTGTACTGACCTCTCATGCAGACAATCCTATCAGTTCCGTTCGCAGTGTTCTTAGCCTTCAGAAACAAAGAAAGAACATGAACCACCTCAGAATAGTTTAAGTACACAATAAAGATTGTTAATAAATGTCTTAACAATTGCCACACTTTGGATGACCACCATTTGTACGCCAGACAGAATAGACAGCAACTTCGCATCGTGAACAGCGGAGAATGACTTGTACATACCTGGAAATTTTTTATCGCCTTCTGAAGGCAATCCGCGTCTATATTTTGCTTTGTTGAAGTTCTTTCAGGCTTCTTCTGGTTAGGACGAGAGGCGGCGCCTTCCTTGTGGTTTCGCTGGTCACGTCGACGGTTTCGACCACTTCTGCTATCACTGCGGGAATGCTGGCTAATTGGCTCAGCTGTAGAAAGTGGAAGCGTCTTAGTGAAGCCATCACTTCTGTCATGAGTAGGTAATTCGTCTCGAATAAACGACAATTCACTCTCAAGGTGGTAAACTTTGTACGAGAGAACCGCAATCGAGACTATTGTGAAAACAAGATGCAGAATTGGCACGATAGTGGATGTTTTTGTGGTAGCCTGACCCGCCGCCATATTTC